AAAATCTCTATCATTACTGCAGCAATGGTAGCAGGAGGGTAAGCTGTTGCTGGTAGCTTGAAGGCTTTTGTTCCTATCGAGCAGCAGCAAGAAATTTTCCCTAAAGGAGAACAAAAAGCATGTCAAGCACATTCTGTATTAAACTAACAAGCCATCTAGGGTGGCTTTTTTTTCCTCAATATGTCAGGGGCCTCTTAAAAGTACTGTATCTTGAGGGTGAGCACCTGTAATCACACAGATCTATGCTGTGCACCCACCACATCCATTTTTTGCCTCTGCTCACACCTTCCTACCCAGATGCACTGCTGAAAGCTCAGCTGTGGGATGCCTGTGAGCTCCCCTGCTCTAATTCTCCAGGACAAGGACCACATCAAAGGACACAGGTAACAGGGCATGACTTTGCTCTCAGCAGGGCAGATATGCACGCTACGCTTCAGAGGAACACCTCTAACAGCACTGCTGCTTCTATTCTTTGAGAGAATAAGCTTGGGAATCATAGAATCATAAAATGCTTTTGGTTGGAAGAAGCCTTTAAGATCATCGAGTCCAAGCATTAACCCAGCACTGCCAGGAAACCACTAAACCATGTCCCTCAGCATCACATCTCCATGGCTTTTAAGTCCCTCAAGGGATGGGGACTCTACCACTGCTCCTGGGCAGCCTGGGACAAGCCCTTGACAACCCTTTTAGGGAAGACATTTTTCCTCATGTCCAACCTAAACCTACTCTGGTAAAAATTGAGGCCGTCTCCTCTTGACCTGTCACTTCTTCCTTAAGAGATGAGACCAACCCCCACCTGGCTCCAGCCTCCTGTCAGGGAGTTGTAGAGAGCCAGAAGTTCTCCCCTGAGCCTCCTCTGCTCCAGACTCAACAACCCCAGGTCCATCAGCTGCTTCTCATAGGACTTGTGCTCTAGACCCTTCCCCAGCTTCATTGCCTTTCTCTGGACATGCTCCAGCCCCTCAATGTCCTTCTTGGAGTGAGAGGCCCAAAACTGACACCAGGATTTGAGGGGCAGCCTTCCAAGTGCTGAATACAGGGGGATGATCCCTGCTCTAGCCCTGCTGGCCACTCTAGTAGGGATACACAACAGGATGCCATTGGCCTTCCTGAATCGTTAATGCATAAGCTAAAAAGCCCCATCAAGTAAAGCAAGGGGGCATGGAAAAAAGAAAATTTTAAACAAAATCTGCATTACAACTTAGGTAACGTCCATGAAGCTTATGCCACATTACATGTGCTAAGATACATCTACTTAGTGAGAGCTTACTCATCGCTATCACCTTGCTAAGCAAGGCGCAAGCAGTGTGTGATGAATCGGCACAACGCCTCATTATGAAAGTCAGATGAGCAAAGGACATCTCCAAGACACCCTCAAAAGTGCCCTTTCTTAAGCCCTAACAAACATCATGCAGCAGAGGAACTGCACATCTTAAATTAAACAGGACTTCACTCCTCCTAACGAAAGGGATGCTTCCCACCACACTAAAATGAAAGAGGAGGAAGAGACAGTAGAAATGGAGCAGATGAAGAGTTGTGGTCTGGACACCATCAAGCCACAGCATCCTGAGCTACACATTAGATCCTCACATCAACATTTTGTTCAGGCTCAGTACAAACACTTTGAAATGTCTGCAGACTGATAAACATTTTTATTCTACTCCGAATGAATAGTAATCAGTGCCTCTTTCCCCTCTGCCTTCCCGAGCTTGCTTCCCTGGGGAAGAAACCACCACACTTAGACAAAAACAGAGCCAGGGCCAGAGCTGCCTCCCTACACACTCAGCCCAGCAGCAGGTTGAATAAAAGTATGAATTCACACTGGCAAACAAATCTGACCAAAGGTTTTTGCTGGATGAGGATCTCCAGGGTTTTTGGTCTCGCAATGTGTGCGGAAAAAGCATTTAGGCTCAAATTACAGCAACAGTATTCTCATTAATAAGGCAGTAACATGTACCTCCTTCTCCAACAACTCTATAAATTGCCACCGGGAAGAAGGAGGGGCAGGAAGAGGGGAAAAAAAGGCTGGTGTTGTCTTCTCATCATAACATTAAGTCACATGACGAGCAAGATGCTTCAGAAACCCAACACAGTAGCACTTTGCGCCACAAAATCCTCTAGCAAGACCAGTTCCAAACACTGCAAGACAGCCTGTTAGTTGTTCGGATGGTAGTTTTATGTAAACAAAATTTGGTCTATGAAAAGAGCATCTGCTTACTAACACTGTAGCAGTTAAATCTCAAACACACGTGCTCAAAATTCCCAATGATACTTTCAACATTGTCCTGTAATATGTAATTAAAACACAACCGACTGCACAGCCGGTTCTATGCTTAACTGAATCTCCTTCCAAATGATTATTTGCATGCAACCCTAGGTATACATCTTTGCTTGCAATTAAAACTAATTCTCTTGCCTACTCCTCAGTCAGGATCCAGCCTGCAGTTTGTCAGCACTTTTCAGTACCTCAGCTTGTTAGTGCCCGACTGCTCAAACATTCCTTTCACTTTAAAAATTGCTTGTTGAGCACACGCCTGCCCCACAAGTCCCGTTACCTCTGTGTGACACTGCTAAGGATGCTTAGGGGAATGATGGACTTTCCCACCCTCCTGCTTGAGCTCATCAGCTCCACCAGCGCACAGAGGCCAAGTGCTGGAAGCTGTCTGCAGGCAGAGGATGCTTTGATAACCCAGGAGGAAGATGTAGGTGGAAAGAGGCAAGGAGGAAGAGCTGCAAAAGGGTTTTATCCCTCGCACGCTACTATGCAAGTAAAACTTAAATGAGTAAGGTCAGCTCTGAAGCACATCAGGTGGTGCTTGACTGACCAAAGTAAAGACAGCATTGTTTTTAAAACTGAAACCCAAAGTAAGCAATAAAAAGGGTACAAGATGCTATCAAACAGATCAATCCACTGGTAGCTTCTTTTACCACCAAGGCCCACTTATTTAACACTCTCCTCAAATTATCCTCTCATCTGGATATTACCACTACCCTAATAGCCACAGTCAGATTTAGCCAGTCCCAAGGTGTATTTAAGCAGCAGCCAAGCAAACAAGAACCTCTAGTTCTTCATTTTCAGCAGAGCAAACTGCTTCTAGGGTGTTATTGGACTGTGGACAAAATAGGTCCCAAGAGAAGACAACAATAAAGAAAAGTCCATGAGTCCACTGCAGTACCCTAAATCTGCTGCCTCACTTTCAGACTATCCAAACCACAGCAAACAGACATCTGTAACATATAAAAAGCACTTTCATTCTGCTACAAGGCAGAGGGAGAGGTGGTGAGCACACATAAGAGCAAGTCAAAGGCTATCTGCTCTCTGCCCTTCAGCCAGTATAGATGTTCACCATGCTGAATGGAAGATCTGAACGGATGACTCTGCACAGCCGAGCACAGTACCTCAAATACCAACTGTGGGTTTTCAACACTCCTGTGTGGTGACTGTGTCCACCACATCCTAATGGGCTGCAACTCAAGCCCTCGGTGCTGAGAGGCAGAGGAACAGAAAGGCGAGTTCAGCAAAGGGATTGCCTTTGGATTTCAATGTGATAGGACCTGACTACGGAGTGCTCAGGAACAGAGGAATGATTAGCAAAAACAGCGTGGGATTCAGTATTGCTTCCCTACAAATAAATCTTGTTTATGTAAAGCCTAAGGGATGAGTGTGATAGCTTGACAAGATAAAACGATGAAAGTGAGTGGATGCAAAATAGACTGTCATAAACCAGAGGGAGTAACATTTGATATTTTGCAAAGAATGTATGTACTTTTTTGTTTGGTTGGTTGGGTTTTTTTAATCACAAAAAGCAGACATTGGGTTTGCAGCATAGGGGAAAAAAAAAAAAAAAAGTGTTCACAACACGCTTGATAGTTTTGTGCATCAAAACTAACTGCCAAATTTTACCTCCCAGTTGTCTGTTTCAAGCAAAATCTCACTCTGCTGCCTGGATAACCACAACACTTGTACACTGCTGATGACAGGGACCCCAGGCATTTGATCACCTTCTTGTCTCTACCTTTCCTTACTAAAGACAAAGCAAGAGAGGGAACTGCACATGTTCAGCCCACGTTGTGTTCATATAAAGCATTAAATGCAATTTTTTCACTGTTGAGGCTTTCTGGAAATGCCTGACACATCACTTAGCAATGAATGGATCACATGCTGGCTTCCCTTTTGGAATACAGAAACTTTATTTTCAGATGATGCAGATGAAATTAAAATACTGCTAAAAGCTGCAGTACCGTTATGTGCTCATGGGGTTATGATGGAAAATTAACTAACCTGCCATTATCTGCATCAAGAAGTCATTACGAGCTGCTAGTCCTAGGGACAGAGCTGCTTTTACTGTACTCCTCCATAACACTGGAATTTACAGTGTGGTTAATTTGGTCTTGGATTTCCATAACAACACGTAGGATACTACACGGCTCCATTTGCACAGGCAGAAATAACTACATCAGAGCATGCTCATCATTTTACCAACACATATCATGGCAGCACAAACATCCAGAATAGTTGTGTACTGCTGTATGAAGGACCTAGGGTTCCAAAAGGGAATGAACTAAGGCTGGTTCTTTGGGGGGAAATATGTGCTGGGAATGCAGATACACAGAGAAGTGTCCCTCCTTCATTTATGAATCTGGAGATGAGTCTGGAAGGGAAAGGTCAGGCAAGTTTCCCTGAAAAGGCTTAACTTGTGGGGCCCTCACAGAGTCATAAAGAAGTGCCAAGAAAATGTGATTACCATCTATAATTTCTTGGTCTACCAGTACACAAAAAGAGGTAATATTTTGTCTGTAAACATTAAAATAAGAACCCTTAAAAAAAAGAAATGTCATTACATAAAAAGCACTAAATTGATACTAAACAACAAAGAGCTCAGAAAAGCATACTTCAAATACTTCATTTAACTTACACCCACATGCAGGTAATAACTAAAAGACTCCAGGTTCAAAAAAAACCATTGAATAATATACAGCTAAGGGTCTAATGTGCTCACCTTCCCATCATAGCGTTTCACTATAAACTGATCCAGGCCCAGGTCTGAAAGAGAAAAAAAATAAAGACAGTTTAAAAAAAAGCAAACAAACACCAGAGTGCAAAAGTAAGCACTTTTTGGGTTTTCTGTTCTAGTGAGGTTTAGAGTGCACTGTCTGAATAACATCAGTACAAAGTATAAGGACAGAAGGAAAAAATGGGTTTTTTTGCATTGTGCATTTTGTACTTCATATTTTGATCAGGAAAGACAACAAACTCATGGGATCAGAGAAGAAAACCTCCTTCTAGCAGGAAAGAGGAGCACAGCTCTCAGCACCTCTCAAGAGCCTGAAATACCCCAAAGTAGAAGATTTCTGCACTATTACCAGGCAAGCATTTTGCCTGTGATGTCCCATGTAAATACACGTTCATAAAATGTTTATTGCTTTCAGTAAAACCTTTTGAATGGCTCACAAATGGGAAAACAAAGAATTGCCCCCATAATTAATGGGGATATTCCCAAATAAATCCAGAACTTGTTCATACTTTAGTATAAAAATGCTCATAAATAGATTTTAAAGGAGATAAGCCGTAGCTGCATTTGTAAGAAGGCAAGTGCTTTAGCTAAAAGGGCATTTTGGTGAAAGGCAGGGAGCTAGGTTATTTATACTACTAAATTCAATCTCTCATACCACCACAAAATGGTTTTTCTGCCCTGAAGAATGGAAAAAAAAAATAAATTCCAGCATTTGCAGAGTGAAGGCACAGAGCTCTCAATCTAATCCGCAGTGCCTGGCAGGCGCTGTGTACACTGATGAATGCACGTATAAGCAAGATGACAAAAATATTCAGGAAGATTAATTATCTGAGCTTTGCAATCCAAAATCGGGAAGACGCACCCTGAGAGATTAAGTAGAACTCAAACTGAGCACTCCCAGTAATTTGGGAGAGCACAGGACAAATTTCAGTTCTCTGAAGAACAAAACTCCTCAGCAGAGCTACACCCCATGCATTTTCTGCCACTGTTTATGATAATTATCACATCCTCATTTCAATTTACATTAGAAAAAAGATGGAACAAAAATAGAAGCTGTCCCATGCCTTTTGTGACCTCCTTGTGAAAGAGGATAATAAAACCCTTCCTGTCTACTGGAAAGGTTCATAATGTTACAGTGCAGAAAATGGAGTTATTAATCACGCTGGGGTAACCTCCTCAACCTTTCCAAACCAAAGCAGCTAAAGCTCCTCCATCATCTATTCCAAAGGTCAAGGCAATTGTCAGGGAACTTTCTGGATTTGTGAATATTCAAGCCAGAAAGCACCTCTCAATATTTTGTGCACCTGACAATAGAGTGAAAATTGCATATTCGTACACATTTTTTCAGACTTGATTCTTCTTCTGAAGAATTCTGTCCTCAAAGTTGCAGGTACAGTAAGTATTGCCATATTCAGAGGCAGAATTAATAAATGTGCTTCTTTTACCAGGGACATGTTATCTGGTCAGAGCTCAGCCCAACCATCCATCTGGATGCCGACAGCTAAGCTGATCTTAGCTTATGTCCATGTGTCATAATAAAGTCATTTCTCTATCACACCTCCTGTTCCCATGTCTGGAAATAGTGCTGTAAGACATATCCCTGAGAGCTCAACATTACAGATGTACTCACAGAGAGCTAATAAAGGACACGGGTTAAAAATAGCAAGGGAAAAGTGTGTCTTAATTGTACACAACCCTCACAACTGGACACTACTATTGGGAAAGCAAACAGGTTTCAAAGGAGACCCAAAATGAATGGATGCTTGTGTAGATGAACAGCAAGAAAAGATGAACTAATAACTGTAACAGAGTTCTGTAACTCTTTTATATGTATATAAAACAAATATCATACATATCTAAATATAGGTAATAAATTATATAATACATAAGAATAAATAATACCCGAGTCTGTATGTACACATAGAAAACTTGTTAAAAACAGTCAATGCCTAAAAAGGTAGAATACCAGTACCTGTACTAAAGGAAGAGACTAATATTATAGACTCGGTACTCTCCACAGATGTAACATGAGGTGGGCAAAAGGGGATGCGAGGGGGGGTGTGACCGAAGAGGACTGAGAAGCACCAGAAAAGGTAACAGCAATAAATTGCAATAATGCTGGAATCAGCAAAAGAAAAACACACTAGTGAAATCAGGAGTTTGGATCCAGGGTAGTTTGCCTGCAGCCTGGGGTTTGGTGCAGCCTCATTCACCTAAGCATGGAGCTGTTTCCATGTGTCTCCTTGATTTACTACTTTCCTGTAAGGGTGCCAGAGCCTGGGACAGGCTGCCCAAAGAGACTGGGGAGTCTCCTTCTCTGGAGAGATTCCAAACTCACCTAGACATGATCCCAGACAACCTGCTCTAGGTGACTCTCCTGGAGCAGAGAGGTTGGACAAGACTATTTCCAGAGGTTCCTTCCAACCCCCTACCATGCTGGAATGCTAAACATGGAAAAATCAAAGCCTCTGGGTAAACAAACTGTTCCCGTGAGGGACAGAGTAACGGACCTTGACTAACATACTGCTTTTCTGTGACTGCATCCCAACTCTCGTGCCAGGTGTAGAAGCTGCCAGGTCTGCCCTCAAGCTTAAGAGCTCCCAGCATTTCATTATTTGCTAAAGAAACTGCTTACAACACCATAGCACTTACAGAAATGTAGTTATTATCTACAGCACGTCAGCTTCCTTCGACACAATCGCATCTGACAAGAAGTAAACGTATAACCTTGAGTTTATGTGTGTCTTGGAGATCGGGGAGAGATATTTATATTGAAATACAGCACACAAATTTGTCACTTCTGCTGCTGTCACTGTCAGCAAAACCTGGAAGACAGCATTACCCAACGCAAGCACAAGCACATTGGTTCCCATCAGTGTTTTACACTCTCCCTTTCTCCCAGCCATGCACAACAATGCCCACTTTGCAGCATTAACTAAGCTGCATGCTGAAATCCCTCTATAGAACTCCCCCTTACCATAGCTCCTGACAGAATAAGCCAATTCAAAACCTGAAAAGGGGCGTTCATATGTTCAAGGCATATAGTTTTACCCCATACGTTTTCCTTTTCTCAATACAATTTATTTTCTTTTTTTATGGACTTAGCTACGTGTTTTTCCACAAGTCTTGAAAGATGAGAAAAGGAAACCAAGAAAAAAGGGGGACTGTTGCCTGATGCCTGTGTTATTCTTTTTTTACATTACATAAAAACCCCAAAGGTTTTTCCTGCAAGACGTTACAATAGGGGTTCAGCGTTTGCGTAGGCTGGAGAGCTAATGGAAACACTGCACGACTGGGGACAATCACATCTGAACAAGGAAAGGGAAGAACATCTGTTATTACATCTCTGTTGTTCAAAAGGCAGCGTGCTAAGTTAAAGCTACTGCAAGATCATCTGTAAGCGATACGCTCGTAAAACAAATAGCCTCTGGCTGGGCTATTGCTGACGAGCTGCAGGAACACAAGCTAATAGGCATGTTTAACAACAAAAAGAGCTTTTCAACCTTTCACTGAAAAGCAGGGGCTGAAATATTGTTCTCCCAGAAATGGATTAAAGGACATGAAAGACAGCAAAGAAATACAGCAATAGTTTCAGGAGGGTACCTGGCTGCTTCACAAAGCCTCCCCCAAACCAAAGGCGGCGCAATGTGCACCACAGCTACTCCAGATCGCACAGTGACCACCCAGAACAGCTGGGCTTCAGTGCTTCTTTCTGCCCAAACAAACCCAGAGCTTTCACCATGACCTGCTCCAAAATACTTTATTTACATGAAACACTGCACATCACCTCACCTTACACTACATATCTGGATTATTGAAGTCCCTTTTCCTTCCCCAGCCAAGGGTTCTGCACCAGCCACTGATGACCTGTACCAAGGATGACCTCCAAGAATTTCCACATTTGCTCACCATAGCCAGCTGGATTAGAATCTTTAAGTATCACTAGGTATTACTCTTACAGATTCTGATTATCACCAAATATACTATCAATGAAACAAAAGAAACAGCAGCATTGCCACAGAATACCTAAGTACACAGCATCACTAACACTGTAGTCATAGAATCATTTTGGTTGGAAGAAACCTTTAAGATCAAGTCCAACCATGAACCAAATGCTGCCAAGGCACCGCTAAACCATGTCCCTCAGCACCACATCTCCATGGCTTTTCAATCCTCAAGGTCCTTCTTGGAGTGAGGGGCTCAAAACCGAATGCAGGAATCGAGGTGTGACCTCTCCAGGGAGACAATCCCTGCCCTAGTCCTGCTGGCCAAATGTAATTTCAGATTAGACTGACACCACTACTCACCAAGAAGAATACAGGCCTACACTCTTATTCATGTGATGGCACTTTAACAGCACCTTAAAAATAAGTGTTTCAAAATAAATATAAATGACTTCACTTGCTGCTTGCCAGAATGGGGAAAAGAGGGTGTTTAACAAAGGAACCGTATTCTTTGCATTTACTTCTTTCTTTTTGGGCTGAGGAGGACGTTTTAATGAGAAGGAACTACTTATACAAAGGAAAAGCACAATAACCTGCTGTTGCTTTTATTTGGCTCTAATCAAATCTGAAGTCAAATCCTTATTATGTTTCTATTGATTAACAGAAGCATACATTCCACAGATTCACTAGCTAATTACCACACTTAATATCTAAACAAGTACTAAGCTCTTCATGTTATCTTGTAAAACAAAGAAAACCAAAAGACATGGGCAGCAGATTATAGACTGCAGGTTTTAAAAATATTTAATAAACAAGCTTCCAGAAGAACAATTGTATTCTGCCAAGAACACAGTTGAGATCAATTAGAAACCATAATGATTTCCTCTGGGATGCCAGCAGTTTCCCACTGATAGAAAGACCTTTTCAACTCCTTGCAGTCTTCATATCCTTGTCAGACTTCTCACATTATTTGGGCAAAAATTACTCATCATCTGCTCTTCTTTTCCTTTTGCTTGATATGGACTATTTTTCTTGCAAATAGACGAGCAAATTGTTAATTATCAAGCCTGAAGAAGTGCATGAGA